AGTAGATCTATCTATATATGAGTAGTTATATATCTATCCTACGTAATGCTATGTACAATCACTACTTTATTTAGAAGGGGTACAACAATTCCCTACTAAACTCAGAAAGATATGCGAATCTTTCTTAATTTTTCCCAGAACAATTTTATCTAAAAGTAGTCTGGTTATCAGGCCATCGATTATAGTATCCTAAATCCTGGTTTTCGGTTCTTCGGAGTGGTTCGCGGATTTCTCCTCCCACCAAGGCCTCCCGATAGTAAAGTCTGTAAAACCATGGCACAGCCACGTACTTGATTGGACAGGAAGCTTACCAGCAGTTTTGATTCACCCTCATCGGGTCGCGTAAACTTCTTTTCTGGCCACCAGCGGTATGCTATCGGTTTGGAATCTATTCTTCTTATTATCAATATGGTAATGCAGTTGTGTCAAGGATAATCTTACCTGATTTCGGACATTCAACCCGATCACAATCTTTCGTATAACCAGTATTCATACTTTGGAAACATCAGTTAATTTACAGTTACACCAATGGATGCATATCTTACCTGCTTTGGTTTTGTATTCAGAGAAATCACATTAGCCCCCTGGAGAAATTAAACCTGTATCTTGTGATCTGACCTATGGAGCATTAACTACTGTACTATAAATCCATAGGTCTTTATTTTTTTTTATTCTATTACATATAACTTTAAATAAATATTTACAATTGTTTAACAATATCTTTAATTTATATTGGTTGTAATAGTTAATTTTTTTATTGTTTAAATAGGTTATATCAAAAATTAAAATCGATATTACTTTTTTAAATAATTAACAAATATCTAATAATTAAATTCTGATTACTTTACTTAATAACAATTGAATTAGTACAAATATATTTAAAAGTCTTTAAAATTTATAAATTAATTATAATACACACATATACAATATATATTATAATTTAGATAAAAATTTTTTAGATTTGTTTACAATTTAAAAATTTAAAAAGAAAATTTGGTATAATTTATTTTTATTATTTAAGAAGAAAATTTGTTATAATTGATTTTTGTTATTTAAGAAAGTTGATTTTAACATTTAATTAATTATAAAAAAATTTTTTAGAAAAAATATTTTCATATAAACACGTTGTTATCATAATTTTTAGATTTTGAGTTTTTATTTAGTGCATTCTTCTATTAATTTTTATACAGTATATTAGTTTTTGAGTAATAAACAAATAAACAAAATTTCAAAAAATTATACAATACACTATATTGATGAAATCCTAATAAAAATTTTTTGATTTTTTGTTTATATTATTTTTGAATCAATATTTTGTAATAAACTTGCAATTAAACATTAATGACCAAAATATTTTTATTATTACATAAAAAATATCAATCCAAAGATTTTTGTAACGGACTGAGTGCTATATAAATATTAATTTATTAAGACTCTATATAAGGTGTGGGATCTCATCACGGCAATTAAAGGATCGCAATTATGTGAATGAAATATCCCCGTGAATAATTAATTACTTCCGTCTTTTTAATTAATTGCGAGTGACCAACATATAGGCAACAAAACCACATAACATCAACAAATAGATATTTTGAATATCGAAATTGATATTTGCTCCTGATTTTTTGGTTCCTGTTGATGTTGGTGACTGGGAGGTAGTAGTTGGTGGTACGTATTCCGCGGCTAGAAATTGAAATAAACATGATAAATATTTAATATAATAAATATTAAAGAAAAACAGATTAGAAAATTATGCCATGACACTTTACGTGCAGACCCATTTTGTTTGACTTCGAAATTCTCCGATCTTGCATAAATATCTGATATATTTGCGACACTGGTGAAGATAAGATAGAACCCTAAAATCGATCAAAGTATGTGGTTAATTCACAAGCAATAGTCTTTCTATGCTATTTTTTTTTTTTTTTTTGAAAATGTATTATATACCTTTGTCATTATAATACTGAGGATTCAGACTGACTATGACATTTCTACTTTCATCAGTAACTATAACGTTACTAGCAAGCGCTTGAGGAGATAATTTATAATTCTATATTGAAAATAAAAATTATAGTTGTATTAAAGACGTTAAAATATCACATGCAAGAACAACAGCTGAGTTTACAAAAGAAAGGACCGATAACCGACATCGTTACTTAGATATATAGAAAATTGTTGCGCACCCGAACCACTGAACTTCCACCGAACAGTTTGCTGTGTCTCCGCTACTAACCAATACTGTGACGATGGAAAAAGTACATTGATATCGGCTGTGTTTAAATGATATCAAGAAAAGTTAGGGTCACGATAAAATTTTAATAATATTATCGAAACGAGTTTCTTGAACGTTTTTAAAACATTCGCTTCACACATTTTTTCATTCCTAATAAACAAGTTATCTACCTGAAACAAAGATTGCGAAAGTAACCAAGAAAAGTGAAAAGATTATTTTATGCATGTCCGCTGTAACTTTATATTATTATTAAACGGATTTTTTTTTTTAAATATCGTGCTTCGTTTCTTTAAATACAAATAAACTGTTGGGGAATTGTAAGAAAGAAGAATCAGAAATTTCACTGGCTATTATATATGCAGTGTTATTTATGAACTTGGACGTTTAAATGTTATACAGTAAATTCCCTTATATATTTCGAGAAAGGCTGCAGGTAATATCTATGGCGTGATACCAAAATACCAAGAAGAATATACTGTATATTATATGCAATACGCTAAAGTAGAAAATTATTGTATCTTATTTTTTGACACCAAAAAAAATCAATCTTGCTAATTTTAATCAATATAATGGAATAAAAATGTACAATGCAATCAATTTGGAAGTGATTTTTTTTTTGTCACGCAGTTTTTTAAATCATGTTGCATGAAATTAACATTGTCAATATACTTTTTAAAACAAAAAATTGGCAAATTAAATCAACTCGAAATGGAAGGTCTGAATAAACAAAACTAATAATTTTATTAATTATATTAAATCCGAAAATTAAAATTAAAAATCACTTTAGAATTATAATAAGTGTATACAGTATATGGCACATGTAATTATTATTATTATTTTATTTTATAGTGATTTTGATTCTAATTAATGATATTTTTAATAATATTTTTTAATATATTTTTTTTAAAAATATTTTTTATTAAAATAAGATTCAATTTTTAAAAAAAATTATATTAAATATATACTATAACTATATAAAAAAAATTATTATACATATTTATTATAATTAATAATAATAAATAACTGATTAAAATAAAAATTAAATACTGTATACACAGTATATTTACAGTATATTTATTTATAAATAGAATTAAAAAATTTTTAAAAATTTGTAATAATTGATTAAAATCTTTTATTTTAAAAAAACAAAATAGATCTAAAACCAATCAATAACTTCATAATAAAAAATTTTTTTAAAAAATTATTTTTGATAATTTTAATATATTGTTAATTTTAATGATTAATATAATAAAATCAACCATTAGTTTAAACACAAGTTTTATTAATAATTATAATTATTATTTAATATAACAATTAACTAAACCAAATGATTTTTGTAAAGTTTTCTTAAAAAAATATTAACAAATAGATTTGAATTATAATATTAAAAATATCAAATTATAATATTAAATTATTTCAATTATTAAATTAGCAATAAATAACCATTGGTAGTAAATAATTATAAATACAAATAAATATGTTAAATAACGATAATGGAGTTTCGACAATTAGACTCGCATGCATCTGAAAACAGAAAATTCATATACTTTATGTTAGAACCTTGGCTTTATTCTAATGGCATTTTTTAAGATTAAAACTAAATAAACAAACATGTTCTAGAATGTGAAATCAACATATCTTTATAAAATTAAAATGGCATATTCAAATTGTAAATGATTTGGATTTTTATAAAATAACAACGTTAAATTATTTCTATGTTCATAAATTAAAAATATAACAATTACCAAGGCTCGAATTTAGAAAAATAATACGCAGAAATTTTTTCGGACGTCGTTTGACGTTAACATTCCTTGATCTTATTTTGTCTAATTTTTCCTTTATTCAAAAATAGATTCCTTCGTACATTGAAATATACCAAAGATGCATTTAATTAAGACAGTTATTGTAATTTAATAAAATTGAACCCACAAGAAATGTCAAGAATTGTAAAACAGTATTGCTGTTTATTCTTTGGAAAATTATCGTAAATTTATGTTTAAAATGCTAGTTAGATTGTCGATGCAAGGATGTTAAATTTATGAGAAAACTATATGCGAAAATATTATAATACTAATTTAGGAATTTAAAATCCAACAATGTATTTGCACAAAAAAATATACATTGATAATGAAAAAAATGAGTGAAGATAAATAATTTACAGATGTGATAATGCAAATGCAAAATGTATGTTATCCTGCTCTATAAAAATCAGTTTTTAATTTTTTTGACTACATCCACTACTTCTTTCAACATTTTTAAACTTCTCTTATCTCCCAACAATGCAGTGTGGAATGCATTCATACAATACCCGAAGCCAACTTTCAATTCTGGATTCCACAAAAGCAAACTTCCCCCAGATCCACCCCATCCTATGAATTCCATGTCCTCAAATCCTTCTAATCGAAAGTATCCGAACCCTCCGATCGTCGCTGTGATGTTCTCTTGAAGAACTTGATCAAAAGTCGTTGGTAGACGCGTAGTAATCAGTGAATAGGTTGAAGGAGAGAGTAGTTGTGGTTCATGAAACGTATTATTCGATGAAGTTTCTCCATTATTAGAATTAACATCAAGGGGTTGTCCACCATTAGCCATAATGGCCGCCAACTTCGCCATACTCCTACTATTAGTGA